ATATTAATATGTCAAGACCAAGTCATGACCTCGTGTTAAATAAGTAGAATAAAACTATATTTAAAATTAATATGTACTAAAAAAATATTAATAATATAAGTATGCATTTTTCCAAAACTAGTTTACATTCATATTTACTGAAAATTTATAATGTTAAGAAAACCATAGCAGTTTTAATAAGGACCTTATAGTTAGGACCTAATATGACTTTTTTTAAATACGAGATTTTTCTGTAACTTCATAAAACGAGATAGAAATAATCATATTTCCCTTATACGTATTATTTTCAATCAAAGCTCCAACATTGATTGATAAAGAGAAACGAAAGTCCATAACAGCCAGCGCATTTTATGACGGTGTGTCCAGAGAACGCCGAAGCTTGCACGGAAATTGAATCGAGCGCGATTCGGGATATCGCACCAGTAGAGACGCGATATATATAATAATGACATAATGAAATATTGAGAAACAGTATGCGAGGGTGGGGAAACGTGTCAGTGTGAAAAGAAATGTTTGTAGTTCATAGTTTTTGTTAGCAAAGGGCGGTGATACGGAAAACTGAAACGTAAGGTTATATATATCTCGTAATGAACGGGTAACAAAACTTTGGTGCAACAATGCGGTGTGTATTATAATAAAAAAAATAAAGGAAGTAAAATAAACCGTTTATTTTTTTATCTTGTAAATATAAACAGATGAATAAAGGTTACAGGTCAATTTAAAACACTTCAAACACTCCCAAACGATGCTAAGTATTTTTTATTTATTTTATTAAATGAATATTTTTACGGATATTTAAATTTACCGATACTATCCGGTACTGTAGATCACGTGAAATGTAATTCTTAAATTTCGAGGTTTATAGACGACTGTATAAATCACAATACTAAAGTAAATTTATTATATTTCAGTAAATTATTACTTTCTGTCTTTAATGCTTATATTAATTTAACGATTAGACTAAATGGTTATACGTTTTTAACATCGGTTATATCATAGTGAAAAAATATTTTTGATCAAAGAACTGGATTTGTTCAGAATTATGATAAAATGTAGTCCTAATTTGTTATCCTCTGAATCTTGTTCAAAATCTTGTCTTTTTATTTATCACTAGTTCTGTCTTAATTATAAATATTGAATACGAATTAGTATATATCTATGGTATGGATTTTTGACATAATCGTTGACTATATTTGCAGATCGCATTCTGTCAATTCTATGTCGAACATCATGTTTAAAAAAGTTTATATTAGCCATAGCACTAAAGTTAGATTAGAAATAATTTTGTATGTGGTTAAATATTCTTAAATTTTTAAATTTTTCACACAAATTTCTTATTTTATTTTTCCATAAGAACCTTCTTCTGACAATAACAAAAATATTTAAAAAAATTAGCAAATTTGGTCTAGCCCTACCCATGTGATGGCGTGATTAGGGGAAGTAGGGATTAATTTATAGATTATCATATGATAAATAATACGCAAAGCAAAGGTGACTGATTGATTTAGCATATATTGGCCAGTTCAGACTACTGAACGCATCGAGCTTGAATTTGGCACACTAATGGATTTTTAAAAATTCAATCCCCGAGAGGGTTAAATGGGGATTTGAATATCATATAAGCCACGTAGACGCGAGTGGAAATTTTAGTTCGTGGATATTCTAAAAATCCCATTCACAGAAAACAAGTAAAGAAATCAATTTCGCATTGCATGTAGTAAATCGAGTTGTCTCAAACCGATACGGGTGTTGCAATACTTTTGTAGCTCGTGATTTGTCGTGAAGCGGCGCCATTCCGCAAGTTTACGTGAATATTTCATATGAATCGGAAAATCCGATTGCTTACCTCACGGTTGTTCGTTGCGATCGATTCAGATTTAGCAGGTGGTTCCGTTAGTCAGACATGCGAATTTTAAGTTCGTGCTGGAATATTAAAATAAATATTTTTGAGCTTTTTGTCTATACTAATATTAAAAGTGGAAAGATTTGATTATTCGTTTGCATTAAATAGGCACCGAATCTATGGGGACAATTTGAAAATACTTTCTCCTCGAGAAGCTACATCCTATGCATGTGTCAGTGACAGCAGTGGGAAAAAAAACTTATTTGAAATAAAATTGCCAATACAGAAATATTAAAATCATTTTAATATTTGTTAATTTCTCTAATTTTTATGACACTGTCAGAAAAAGAATTCACTGAATTCTAATGAAATAAAAATCTCTCTGACGAAAGGCTATGGTGAAAATGAGTCTTCGATGTCGTTCTTTGTCTCTTCATTCAAGTCATCAAATTAAGAGCGAAAATGACTACCCGATATTTAAACTAATTATTTATTAAATTTGCCTTAACTATAAGGTCGACAATTGATTAAGTCTGAACAGTTACATTTTTATTTTACATTATATTCAATATTATAATAACCAATACTATAAATCTTTGAAGCCGATTAAAGAGCCTACACACATACTTCTTTTTATTCCACCCGGATACAGGAAACTGTTTGTACATTTCCCCGCTGCGTAGTTCCACAAACTACCCATTAATACTTATTTACTGCACATCCTCGGAAAGTCTACCTCCCTGGTAACGTAGGTAAATCATGATAATTACTTGACATAAATAATTGCTCGGTTTATGAGCCTATTTCCAAATTAAATCCATAATTTCTGGTGTAATTTAGTAAATTACATGGAATCAACTAAAATTGGCTTTATTTAATATGAAATCTTTTTGTGCTTAAACGATTTTCATTCTTATCATATTGTGAAGAATCTTTCGTTGCCTAATTATATTTTCGCTTTTATTTTTATTTGATTATCTTTTCTATAAACCTATTGTTTGTGTAGAAATATCTTTAACGACACATCGTTATGTAGAAATCTCTGTAAAAAATAAAAGCGCTAGTAAAATACGCGTTAAAAAAATCGACTGCAGAGTGCAGAATAGACCATTTATACCATTTTAATGCTTACCATACACCGATTCGGTGAATTTTTTAAAACTTGACACTTTAAAAATAAATTGTAAAAGAGGTTGCAGACCGCATTTGGCCGGCCACTTTTGCATTTCAAAGAGGTTTTATTCAACAATTCTGTTTTTAAAAATTGAACGAAATAAAATGGGAATAGGCAGTTAAAGTGAACATTGGGGACTCAGAATGGCAGTGTTTTTGGCATTCTCTTTGGCGTGTATGCTGGCGAGTGCAGTAGGAAACTCGGAAGAGGTGCTTGTAATTGTTTTGTTCAAGTTTCCATTGTGTACACTTTTTAATGTGTGAACAGAGCGGAAACCGGTTATTTTGTGGAAATATGAATACGGTTTTCGTTTTACATTGCATTTTTATGAATCTCTTTGTGTAGCTTGTAAGAGACGGATTTTAATTCCTATGTGTGGTTGAACAAAAAAAACATATTTCTTTTATAATAAAACAGTCGTAGTGTACAGTCGAAAATGGTTCTGCTCATTATTTTGTTTGCAACTCTGTTGTTAAGAGAATTTAGATTTTGGTATTAAACAAAATTAAAAACCTAATGTATAGAACTTTATATTTTCACCTGTAAAAGAGGACTAGTTACTTCAATTTACACCTTTAATTGCGAAACGATGAATAGTTATATTAAATAATTTAAAAATATGTTAACTTCTATATGTTTAAAATATATTTTTACATAATTTGCAATTCTGATTTGTAAGGTATTCTTAAAATCCAGCACAGATAAAAAGGACTTTTAAATGTTTTACAGAAACCAAGTTCAAACAATAAATAGAATATTTTAGTCAAAGTTACACTCGGAAATGCTTTTTGCTCGAACCAGAACTAACGAGCGTTAGGAGTTAACTAACGACTTAACTAATTCATCATTATCAAAACGTTTTATTAAGATTGTGTATCTATCTATTTATATCTTCACGCTATATCCCTTGTGGGTAGAGAGGACCGAACGCTACAAATCACGGCCCTTACGTACATCCCACTTTCATTATTCTTTTCATATATACTCATCCAATTTCATTACTCTTTTCATACATACTCGGCGGTTTTTTATCCTATTGTCCTTTACACCTTTGTAGGAATACTTTCAAGAGAACAGGAAACTGGCGAAGGCGATCGTGGAAGCCCTACAAGACAACAGATTTGATGATGAACTGCTATTCGATCTGAAGAAGGAGAACCAGATCTACCTCAATCGCACCATGTCTTTAGTCATCAAATATATAGTAAAAAGGTTATTATCAGTAGATAAAACAAAGTCGATTTCTCTGTCTATATATCCCAATATATGCTTAAATCTGTAATACTACGCAACGAATTTTGATGTGGTTTTTTTATAGATTGGGTGATTCAAAAGGAAGTTTTTTAAGTATTTAAGTAAAAATAAATAATAATAAAAACCTTTGGCAGGTTTTTATTATTGTTTATTTTTGTAAAAGTTTGAGTAAGATTCGAGCACCAATTTTTATTTCATTAATTCTGTGATACATTGATCGGAAATTTAAAATCTGATTAAAACATAAAGCAAAGTAAAGTTTCTGTAGACCAACATTATTATACTACCACTAGTGTAGTAATTAATGTTATATTGTTTTTAAAACAAAATTTTCACGGTCATTGACATTAGAATGATAACTAAAAACGGGATTGCTACCATGTATCTTGTTTTTGTTGAATAATACCCGATTTCTAAATTGAGTAGATATTTAAAGTTAAGCACGACTCCAAACTGTGCTTAACCGTCACTTAAACAGGTTTTCGTCTCTAATTTTAGTAGTCTAATTCTAGTTGTTTAATGATCATTGGAAACCATTTTGATAAAACTGGGTCTTTTCGCCTTGTAAAAAGTAAAAAAAAGTAATTTATTGAGAACAAATTTGAGATTTCATACTTTCTTAATTCAGAAACGGACCGTTAACTTTTTTAACCTTTTCCCAGAGAAGTGGACAACTATCGTTCACGTCGCACTGACGCCATCAGCCGACGGATATACTCCTCGCTTGTTATGAAACTCATAGATATAGCTAAGGTCAGCGTAACAACAATAGTATTTAATAACTCAGATATCGATATAAAATTAGATTCAAATACTGTCATTCTATACTTGGTGGCGTAGTGGATAAGCGCCGCGGCCTGAGGCCGTTGTTGTTAAGCAACTTTCGCAAAGGTCGGTCACGAGATGGGTGACCAAAAATTATTATCTTCAGCTACTCCGTGCTAAGGAAGGCACGTTAAGTTGATTCCGGCTGCGTTTGCAATCGTTAATACCCTCCGATCCGCATTGAGCCCACTCATGACTCATCCTCCTTAACCATCCATAGGAAAGGCCTGAGCCCCTGTAGTGGGAACGTAAAAAGGGCTGATCATGGTGATGTTTGTACTAAAACAAATATATTCAGTTACATTTTTTTATAATGTTCTTTCTTTACTAAATGTTTGGCAATGAACTATCGTAACAGGATCTTCCTCGCAACGCATCAGCTAACAGCCGCATCGACACAGCTCACAGATATTACACCTCAGTCGAGAGTCGCGACATGCACGATCAGATGGCAGACATACAGGTGTTCCACGCATGCGCACGCCTCTACGACATCATGTTCACGGTACCGTAATATGCTGTACTTTATTTTCCAAACGTGTCATGTCACCATCACTAGAAACATCACATGGCCCTATTGATATTTATACAGAGCAAAGAGGTACAAGTCTTCCCTGAGGATTTTTTTACTTAGAAAGAACGGTAATAACCTAGGATCATGTTTGATTTGTGTTTAGTAGTGCAGACACAATAGCTTAACCTGTCCTGCTAACCATGAATCAGCGAATACTCATTCTATGACCGATCTCTCATAATAATCAGAAAGCATGAACTGTTACAGCGTTGAAAACATGATCTCAAAGTATTAGCAGATGATTTTATAGTCACAATCATATTCTTGTTATGGAGATCGGCGTTTTGTCAAGGCGCTCTTTCAAATTAGACTCCTAAATGATAACGTACAAAACTTTCAGAGTTTTAAGACACTGGAAGTATTACGTGACGAGTAAACAATGCGGTTTTAAATTACATCCTAATACTAAGCTGGAGTCAAGGGCATCAAACTATAAAGTGTTAGAAAAAAGTAAAGAAATTTCCATTAGCCAGTAAGGCAAGCCAATAAACACAAAGTTAATGCTTGTGATGGTTCAAAAAATACTTATAACGTAAAGCCACATGTAGTTTCAAAATACTTTCAAATTGCGTAATCTAATACTTAAAATAATAACACTATTAAAGAACCTCAAGAGAAACAATTTAAAGATCAGGCTAAGGAACTCATAATCTGCTTAAAATTCACGTTTTCGTGTTTGCTGTCAGCTCGATACATATTCTTTTCAGATATATTTTTTTAAGAAATAAAACAAAGCACACAACAATCTGACAGCATATAGGTATATATTTGAGATGATGTCTCCTACCTTATCAAGTCTCCCGGATTTCCTCAAAGAGAGAAATTACAAGAATTAATAAACTAGTTATTTTTGATAAAGTCATCATTTTTTAAACTTTATTAATATGGAAGGTATCCTTATCATAAATATGTTTACTAGCAGTGAAGATAGCAACTACCTGCTTGAGAAATTTGACAGCCTTGTTTAGATGTCAGTGCAGGGCTTTTCAAGGCAATTTCATCTCGAATTTTCAGTTGCGTTTTTTAAATTTATTTTTTATTATTAAAATTCAACAGGCTCCAAGAATTCTCGCTCAGCTTGGAAAACTCGATGACCTCACACCACGATTGCTTGTGAGGAAATTGAATATAATGGAAATTAAACCAGTGCACCTCGGGGTAACACTCCTTGTACAGGTAAAATCATTGAAAACATACAAGCTAACAAATAAAACATTTAAAGAAGATTTGCAGCAAAAACGCCGTGAATTCGCTCGTTTCTGCTTGCTAGTTCTTGTTCTAATTCTTAAAAACATCTTCATGTGCGACAATTCTAATTAAGCTATCAGATAACTCTTGTCATACTTGCTTATTATTGTTTTGTTCTATATTTGTACTGAAACTGTCTTAAAAATATTGCATGCCTTGCCTTGCCTTTAACAACAAACCTTCAGGATTTATATTCTATCCCCAAAAATAAACATATTCCTACCTTTACAGTATCACCTCAGGAACACAGTAAATTTTGCTGTCAGAACGAAAGCTGTAGAAGTTTTGTCGACTCGACCTCAAGAAGTCGGGCCACAAGTGGTCGACATGTTGAAGGCCCTAGCAGCGAAGCTGCTACCTGTAGCTGAACTGTTGGATGTACACCTGGCACACGCCAGTCCAGCATTTAAAGACACCTGCCCGTCTACGTGGCTTGGAATAGTCAACAATAAATCACTTTAGATATACTGGATATTGTTGGATATATTATTATAGTTTATTAAATTGTGCTATATGTTTATTTGTCCTCTCAGTAATGTTGAAATATTAAGAGTATAAATAAATATAGTTTTCAGGATAGTTCGATAATGGTTCACCAAACTTCATTAAGACAAATTGTCATTGGTAAACTAAGGTTTCTGTATTATTATAATGTATAATACAACATGTATGTGTATTATGTGCAACCACATTAAACTGGGGATATAAAACAACCGAAAAACGTACCAATTAGATTTTGTTTTTATTTAATTTTATGAATCATCATCATCAGCCCTTTTACGTCCCCACTGCAGGGGCTCAGGCCTTCCTTATGGATGGTTAAGGAGAATGGGCCATGACCCTCCACGCTGGCCCAATGCGGATTGGAGGGTATTAACGACTGCAAATGCAGCCGGGACCAACGGCTTAACATTAATTTTATTATCGGATTAATTGGTTTGGAACAGTTTTTTAGATCGATTTTTTTAATTTACGCTAACAAAAAAGAAATCTGATAATTAGTATAATTCTTTAAATTAACTTTTTGTTCCAATCAGTACCCTTAAATTGATAGTGTAGATTTTTATTTGGATTTAGCTTAAACCTTCTAAAAAAAAAACTAAATCCTTCTAAAAAACATACTTTTTGCTTAAATACAATATTGATAAAATATATAAATAACTTATGAGAACTCGTAGCTGTCAAAATTCCAGCGTTGTAATAAGCAATCCCTTGGCACAGTGTCGGTACCATTTTATTAGGCAAGGTGGATTTATCGTCTATAAAGTGCACACGAATATATCACGATATCGAACGTGGCCCATAAACAAGACGAATTCAATACACCAGTCACGTGAAACGTTACTATATAAAAGGTTACTGAAAAATTTCCTTTCTTTTAATATTTATCGAGTCGTCATTGATAAATAATTTTACAGTAGCATTTTATTATATAAAATTCGTAACTGATTGACAGACAATGTACAGCTGAAACTACTCAGAATTTCAAATTTTGCATGCGGGTCCGTTTTAGGACGTAGGTGCTCACTAAGACGGGATTTTACGACCACACACGGGCGAAGTCGCGGCCAAAGCTATGCCAAAATAAATTCAACTGCTCATGTCGTAAAAACTTTAGATACTTTGCTCAACACGGTGATATAAGCAAGTCGTTGATTAATAAATACGCATAAATCTATGTGGTGGGTTCGACCCCTCGGCCTTTAGCAATCCGGGCGACTGCTCTGCGAAAGGTCGTGGATTTTTTTTCATTAGAATATTTTCCAAGATAGCATTGTGATGGAAAATTCATCATCACCAGCCCTTTTACGTCCCCACTGCAGGGGCTCAGGCCTTCCTTATGGATGGTTAAGGAGGATGGGCCATGACCCTCCACGCTGGCCCAATGCGGATTGGAGGATATTAACGACTGCAAAATGCAGCCGGGACTTAACGTGCCTTCCGAAGCACGGAGTAGCTCGAGACAATAATTTTTGGTCACCCATGCCGTGACCGACCCTTGCGTAGTTGCTTAATGACTATGCTCGCGGGCCGCGGCGGTTATCCACTACGCCACCGAGCTACTTATATGGAAAATTTATAAAATATAATAAATTAGGTTAAAAAAGAAAATGGAACGTCTAAAATCATAATAACTAGCTGAATTGTTATGTTTCGTGAACATCTATAACCGTTTTAAGAATTCTTCCATTTTTTTTAGGTTTTAGCTTTTATATGTTTATTGTTATCATTTCGTGTACCTCCTTATCTACGTTTCAGTGATCAATGGAACTTTTTTTCTTACATTCTTTCTTATTTCAAGGACGTGTGACGTCACATTTTGACCCGATAGCGAGGCTCCGTCCGAGGGTCGGCCCTTCCGGCCATTCGGTGTGATATGTAACGAGGCCTTAGATGTTTTGGAACGGACATTACACGCAATTTATTCAAAAACGAATCTCCATGTGATCGTTTTGTGGTTATTTCGGGACATTTGTCAGAATTTTTACTGATTTATTTTATCAGAATAAGTGTCAGTAACTTAGTAAATAGGTCTTTTGCGTGAAAAATATTAGCAAACTTAATTATGCATAATTTATTCAGACATGCACTTGTGAAATAGGAAAAACTGTGTCAACATCACCAGTTTAATATGTCCCAACTGGTGGGGCTTATGCCTTCCTTTTGGATGGAATCAATTGCGGATTTATCAATGGCTTAACGTGCCTTCGGAAGTTTTATGTTATCTGTTTTATGTCATGCAGATCTTATTAAAAAATGACTTCATTAGACTTAAAAGTCACTTTCTATTTCAATATTGAAAATAACAAAAAATATTATTTCGTTCATCGTTTAGTATGACTGTTTAAAATAACCGTTTACACCATGTTTATATTATTTGGAGAGTGATGTCCGCTCTATGCATTCTTATCTGTTATATAATCGGATACCTTATAATAAGCTTTTTTAAATCATAAATATATACCCACTTGATAATCAACACTATGTACAAACAATCAAAAGACTAACTGTACATCAACAAGGACGATCGCGCGGGAACAGTACGGATACCGAGTAGATGGGTTTAATTCATTAAGGATACCTGTATTTTAGCACCACTAATCTCCATTGGGACCTACACCTGTGCTCAGTGAAAAATGTTAGGTAAATTGATTTTATCCATTCATAATATCCGTACTTTAGCGCCACCAATCTGCATCGAGAACTACACGTGAGCTCAGTAAGGAATGCTGGGTGGATTGGTTTCATTATATTTTAGCACCTACACGTGGACGGGACATGCACGAGAAAAAAATAGTCAATTTCTTAATAATGTCCATGGACTGGACACGGACATGTCCATTGTGTATATACTTATTTGCAATTTGAAGAATACAATTTTATGAGTAATAATCTAGCGTCAAACTTCTTGTATTAGTATCATTGACCATGACTGTACATAATAATTTAGGTACCACCGTATGCAGATCTCTATCAGTAGGGAAGTTCAAACGAGGCGCGGTCGGTACAAAGTGCACAACGTATAGTCTGACGTACAGCCATGTGTACAATGCATAAACTTAAGTCCACTGCATCCACACAGACAACTGTGGGTTAAACTGTTGTACTACTTGCAGAGATGGAAAGTTATTTCAGATGTATTTCTCTACTCATTTTTGGATTATATTGTGCTCCAACAATCACATCTTCCAATCACTTTTTATATAACACTTAGACCATGCCATTTTTTTTCTAAATAGCTTCAATAAGCGTGCCGTTTGACCTCCAATTGCAGTAACGTCGCCTAGCTGGTACAAAAGCGAATACTGCTGCCATTGGACCAGCGACTCTACTACGTAACTAAAGCCCTAACTGATCTGACAAAATAAAGACCCGACTAATCTGTCAGGTTGACAGATTAATTGATATCTCCCCAAGCAGGATTGATCTAGATCAATGTTTTTCAAACGTTGGCTCTACGAGGTCCCAGAAAAAAATCCACATTACAGCAAAACCTTTAAATAGCTATTTTTTTCATATAATTTTTTCACTTACGGGAAGCTACATCACACGTGGATGACAGATACATATAATTAAAAAAATCCCGAAAAAAAAACAAATCTTATAGCGTATACTGTTCCAGTTTTAATATATCCACGCGGGCACACAATCGACCTTATCTCACGCTATTAAGGGTTAAGTATCTGCAAATTGCCATATAAAATAATAGCCGCACTGATGAACGTGAACGCACAGAAATGGCGCGTCAGTACAACCTTTTGCCACAAAGAGGCATTTAAGGGTGTTACAACACATGATGAAATAAGTATACTGACTGATACTTGATAAAACTCTGGTGACTTAGTTGGAAAAGCAATGGCTGTGCCTGGGACGAATTTTTAAAAGCATATTTAAGCTTTTCACGAAAATCTTGAGACATGATGACAGCTTTAACGTTTGATGCATTTCATTGATTAGCTTTTATTTATTTATTTAATCTTTATTGCTATATTACTGCAAACGGCGGACTTAATGCCATAGGCATTCTCTACCAGTCAACCGGAGAGGATAAGCAGAAAATTTGTAAGGCAGTGACAATGATAGAGAATTCTGAATATAATTAACAATCATACACATATTTAGACACATATACTTACATATATATATTAAGACAATACCCTATATACAAACACATAAATACATATATACATAAATAAATATATACATATACAGTAAAACAAACATCGACATGTCAGATTGAGAAGTCAAGAAAAGTTGTTATCTTTTAGATAGTGTTCACGCGCTTTTCTCTTGAAAACTAATCTATTCGGAGCATTTCGTACGTCTAGAGGTAGTGCATTCCACAGCCGTATAGCAGTAAGAGAAAAAGATTTGGAAACAAATATAGAATGATGAGAAGGAGTCTGGAGTACCAGATTAGAACTGGAGCGAAGTTGTTTTTGATGAGAGGCACCCAAGTACTGAAACCTAGATTTCAGATATTCAGGCGCACGTGGATCGTATAGAATTGCAAAGAGGGTGTTTACGATTCTTAATTTTCTACGTTCGCGTATTGGCAACCATTTAAGGTGGTTACGAAAATCAGAGATGTGGTCGTATTTACGTAGACCGAAAACGAAGCGGATAGTGTTATTAAGAAGACGATCCAACTTATCAAGAAATATTTGATTAATGTTAGAGAGACAAACATCTGCATAATCAAAAAGGGGATGAACAAGTGCCTGCACGAGGGCAGTCTTGGTACTGGACGGGAGAAAATTCTTAAGTCGGTATAATGCGCCAAGAGTCCCATGAATACGGCGAGAGACATTCGCCATATGGCCTTCCCAGGAGAGGGTACGGTCCAAGACAAGCCCCAGGCTTCTTACAGTGGAAGTGTAGGGGATCACCACACCATTATATGATACAGACGGAACAGCGCTCAGATTCAACCGGGAAATTAGACTGGGGCTTCCTATGAT